GTAAATCAATTAAATAGTCCTATATCCCCCAAGGAAATAGAAGCAGTCATCAAAAGTCTCCCATCCAAAAAAAGCCCAGGTCCAGATGGCTTCAGCACAGAATTCTACCAGACCTTCAAAGAAGAGCTAACTCCAATTCTCTTCAAACTATTCCACAAAATAGAAACAGAAGGAACATTACCAAACTCATTCTATGAAGCCACAATCACCTTGGTACCTAAACCTCACAAAGACTCCACAAAGAAAGAGAATTTCAGGCCAATCTCCCTTATGAACATTGATGCAAAATACTTAAAAAAAATGCTTGCAAACCGAATCCAAGAACACATCCAAGATATTATCCACTATGACCAAGTAGGCTTCATCCCAGGTATGCAGGGGTGGTTCAATATACGGAAATCCATCAATGTGATCCACCATATTAACAAACTGAAAGAAAAAAACCACATGATAATCTCCCTAGATGCTGAAAAAGCATTTGACAAAATCCAACATCCATTCATGTTTAAAGTACTACAGATATCAGGGATACAAGGCACATATCTAAACATAGTAAAGGCGATATACAGCAAGCCTATAGACAACATCAAACTGAACGGAGAGAAACTTAAAGCAATCCCACTGAAATCAGGGACAAGACAAGGCTACCCACTCTTCTCCAGATCTCTTCAACATAGTGCTGGAAGTCCTTGCTAGAGCAATAAGACAGTTGAAGGAGATCAAGGGGATACAGATGGGAAAGGAAGAAGTCAAATTATCACTATTTGCAGATGATATGATAGTATACCTGAGTGACCCCAGAAACTCTACCAGGGAACTCCTACAGCTAATTAACACCTTCAGCAAAGTGGCCTGATACAAAATTAACTCAAAAAATGAGTAGCCCTCTTGCATACAAAAGACAAAAGGGCTGAGAAAGAAATTAGGGAAACAACACCCGTCACAATAGCCAAATGACATAAAGTACCTTGGTGTGAGTCAAACCAAGCAAGTCAAAGACTTGTATGGAAAAAATTTCCAGTCTCTGAAGAAAGAATTAAGAGAAGATATCAGAAGATGGAAAGATCTCCCATGCTCATGGCTTGACAGGATTAACATAGTAAAAATGGCCATCTTACCAAAAGCAATCTACAGATTCAATGCAATTCCCATCAAATTACCAACACAATTCTTACAGACCTTGAAAGAAAAATTCTCAACTTCATATGGAATAACAAGAAACCCAGAATTGCTAAAACAATCCTCTACAGTAAAAGATCTTCTGGAGGTATCTCCATCTCTGATCTCAAGCTGTACTATAAAGCAACAGTTATAAAAACTGCATGGTACTGGCATAGAAACAGAATGGTGGATCAATGGAACCGAACAGAAGACCCAGAAATAAACCCACACACTTATGGACACCTGATCTTTGACAAAGATGCCAAAACCATACAATGGAAAAAAGACAGCATCTTAAACAAATAGTGCTGGTCTAACTGGAAAAATGCAAATAGATCCATACTTATCACCCTGCACAAAACTAAAATTCAAGTGGATCAAAGACCTCAACATAAAACCAGACACATTAAATAGGTTAGAAGAAAAATTGGGGGAAACCCTAGAACTCATTGGCACAGAAGACTACTTCCTGAACAGAACACCAACAGCACAGGCTCTAAGAGCAACAATCAATAAATGGGACCTCATGAAACTGAAAAGCTTCTGTAAAGCAAAGGACACCATCATCAAAACAAAAGGACTGCCTACACATTGGGAAAGGATCTTCACCAACCCTTTATCTGACAGAGGGCTAATATCCAGTATATATAAAGAACTAAAGAAGCTGAAAAGCAGCAAACCAAGTAATCCAATTTAAAAAAAAATGGGGAACAGAGCTAAAGAGAGAACTCTCTGTAGAGGAATATCGAATGGCAGAGAAGCACTTAAAGAAATGTTCAACCTCATTAGCCATTAGGGAAATGCAAATGAAAACAACCCTGAGATTTCACCCTACACCCATTAGAATGGCTGAGATGAAAAACTCAAGTGACAAGACATGCTAGAGAGGTTGTGTAGAAAGGGGAACCCTCCTTCACTGCTGCTGGGAATGTAAACTTGTACAACCACTCTGGAAATCAATCTGGCGCTCTCTCAGACAACTAGGAATAGCGCTTCTTCAAGATCCAGCCATACCACTTCAAGGCATATTTCCAAAAGAGTCTCAAGTACACAATAAGGACATTTGCTCAACCATGTTTGTAGTAGCTTTATTTGTAATAGCCAGAAGCTGGAAACAGCCCAGGTGCCCCTTAACTGAAGAATGGATGCAGAAATTGTGGTACATCTACACAATGGAGTATTACTCTGCCATGAAAAATAAGGAAATCATGAAATTTGCAGGTAAATGGTGGGACCTGGAAAAGTTCATCCTGAGTGAGCTGTCCCTGAAGCAGAAAGACACGTACAGTATATACTCACTCATATAGACATATAACATAGGATAAACCTACTAAAATCTGTACATCTAAAGAAACTAATCAAGAGAGAGGACCCTGACTAAAATGATCAATCCACATCCCGAAAGGCAAAGAGGATGGACATCAGAAGAAGAAGAAGGCAGGAAACAACCTAGGAACCTGCCACAGAGGGCCTCTGAAAAGTTCTGCCCTGCAGACTATCAAAGCAGACACTGAGACTTATGGCCAACTGTTGGGCAGAGTGCATGGAATCTTATGTAAGAAGTGGGAAATAGTAAGATCTGGAGAGGACAGGAACCCCACAAGGAGAGCAACAGAACCAGAAAATTTGAACACAGGGGTCTTCCCAGAGACTCATACTGCAACCCAGTACCAGGCATGGAGATAACCTAGAATCCCTGCATAGATGTAGCCCATGGCAGTTTAGTGTCCAAGTGGGTTACATAGTAATGGGAAGAGGGAATGCCTCTTACATAATCTGATTGGCCTGCTCTTTGATCACCTCCCCCTGAGGGGGGAAGCAGCCTTACCAGGCCACAGAAGATGACAATGCAGCCACTCCTGATGTGATCTGATAGACTAAGATCAGAAGGAAGGAGAGGAGGACCTCCCCTATCAGTGGACTTGGGGAGGAGCATTCGGGAAAAAGAGGGTGGAAGGAGGGGAGAGTGGGACCCAGTAGGGAGGAGGGAGGGGCTTATGGGGGGATACAAAGTGAATAAAGTGTAATTAATAAAATAAAATAAAATTAAAAATTAAAAAAAATAAATTAAAAAAATTATGTTGAATGATGACATGAGGAATATCAGTGCACTATCTCTGATTCAGGAAAAAACAGGATGAGTCTATCAGAGGATAGTCGGGCATATCTCCTGAGGACCCCCCACAGAGGACTTCCCTGACTGTAATGTGAATCAGCTACAATTCACAATGAGTCGCCAATTCTTTTGTTTTTCCTACATCATCATTCTTTTTTAATTATTATCGTTTACATCCCAGTCATAGCCCCCTCCCTCCTCTCTTCCTGGTCTCACCCTCCCTCTTCCTCCTATGCCCCCTTCCCTCCTCCTCAGAAAAGCAGATTCCCCCCACCCACCTACCCCAGCACATTAAGTCCCATCAGGACTGAATGCATCATGGTGGAAAAGCAGGCAACAGAATCCATGTCACAGACAGTCCGTGCTCCCCTTACTAGTGCACCCATAAGCAGACTAAGCTGCCCTTCAGCTACTCTCTAAAGTGGAAGGCAGACCACTCTCATCCCAGAGCATCCCAGGGAGAGATTTGGACTCTAGTTCTGATATGTAAATGTGGGTGAGTGGGGTTTATCTAGAGGTGTGAACAATCTAAAGATTCAGCTTTTCGTGGGGAGAGGAAGAAGGAGGCATTTTATGTTTATCAATAATATGAACATGAATGGAAGTTGCATCTACTCCAGACTGGCATTGAAAGGCATGTCACATTTCACCTAAAGGTTGGCTACAACACCCTACAAGCTGAGGTTATACTGTAATTATGGGATGGGAAGATGTATTTCATTATACTATATATACATTATATTATATACACACATTCATTAAACAGTGAAGGCTTGTCAAAAGCTCTCCAGCATGTGTGTGTACATATGCTTTATTTTATAACTAATAGGTTAATATGTCTATATGCTTTATTTTACTACCTTAGCAACAAGGCAAACCAGTACTCTATTCCTCAGTGTTTGCAAAAGGGATCAGGGAACCCAAAAGAACACTGTTCCCACAAATATACAATGAAGTCAGATCATTTCACCAAAGCTTTTTATTTTTTATTAAGGTAAGTCTCTAGTCCTCTTGATTGTCCTACCTTCCCCTCCCAAATGCTGAGATTATAGGCTTGTGTCACCTCACCGGGTTTAAGCAACACTTGAACCCAGGACCTTGTGCATTCTGATTAACTCTACCTAATGGCTGCATCACCAGCCATACAATACACACTTGGAATAAAGGAAACATTGGTGTGAGAGTCACCTCAGGAACGCTTATTCACTGAGGTTTCTATTTCCCAGATGGTTTCCATGCTCAGTAGTCAGCTCTCCTGTTGCACTACCTACTGATTAGCATCTGAAGCCGGCATCTGATCTAACCCAGAGACAGACAGGATTTCTGATTCCTCAGCTGTCGATGCTGAGCCTTTTCGATGAGCATACACAGTGCTGATACCTTGCGTTCAAACCTATATAATTAAACATTTATACCTACAGTTGTTATCATGTGAGTTAATGTTTAATCAAAGTGCCTTGTCACAGTCCTGGGTTTGATATGAGCAAAATGTACATACGAAAGTGCTTCTTGCTTCTGTAGTTCAAGGGAGTGATCAGACCCATGACTTCAACATTATATTTAGTTGGTGGCATTATTCTTAATGAAATAGATAGACAGAGCAGGTATCCTAGCATCCCAGATGGCCTGGATGCTAATGTTATAATTAAATAACTTTTTAGCTTATTAGAAGATTCTGTTATTTCTTCAATGAACCACAAATAATAATATACATTCTGAAACATTTTCAGTGAGTTATTAATTTTTATTCAAAAATATTGTGTTCCTGTAAGCTTATACCAAGACATTTATCCTGAGAGATTTCAAGACATAACATCACAGCAGGGAGTTAAAAGGGAAAATGGAGATAGGGTTTAGGTTTTGAAGAACTGTAGTAAAACATCAGAGTCCTCAGAGAGATGAAAAGGAAATCATTTTGGAAGTTAGTTAAAAAGTTGCCTGCTCTGTGATTGCCGAAGCTCTACTGTAGGAAAGAGGAAAACTTAAGATTATAAAGGAGAAACATTTGTGGTCTGGGCATGACACAGGCCAGGAGGAGGTATAAAACATAGATGGCTGAACCTCCACTTCTACAGCGATCACAGACTGGAGTTACATGGAATTTTGAGTTGAGTTTAGTAATAGTTGTGTCAAAGCCTGAAGGTGCTCAGTCGGCATATTATGGGATGTAGAAGCTGGGAAGAGATGTTTGGGTCTCGAACCTTCAGAGTATGGTGCATTTTCCACCTCCTTGCCTATGCTTGATGCTGTTAATCTCTTGCTGAAGTTTCCTGCTCTCGTTCTGGAATCCTTCCTTGAGAAATCGTTCTTGTTCCTAAAAGAAAAATGAAGGCTGAACTCACACAGTGTCCCACAGACTCCCCTCGGTAGTTACACTGAAACCGGTGGGGGCGGGGAGGTTGGTGTTTGAGACATGTTGTTAGACAGTTCCTAAAACACTAGTGGCCTATGACCCTCAGGTCCAATTCGATAGTCCTTTGGCTCATGTAAAACAACATTTTCTATAAAATCAGCACCAGTTTGCCTTTGGTTTCTTGCCTCATCTCTGAGCTGTGTGGTGTGGCCTCTCAAACACATGTATGAAGGTGATAAAGATGGGCTCAAAGAAAATGGAAGGCTACTACTTGATGTACAATCAAGACAAGGGTTCAATCAAGGAATTAGAAACATGCCCAAAATTTTGACAGAAATATATTGAAGCAGCTGGGGTCTGCGGTCCTCACAGGATAGTCTGGCCCACCATGGAGAACTCAGCACCATTGCAGAAGAATGAAGAGTACTGCAATTCAGCTATTTAATCCATGCGCTTGAGTATGTCGACGGCGAGGGACTTTCATTATTCATTAGGAAGCCTCTAGAGACAAGGTCACATTGGGTGTCAGAAGTGAAATCCCCCTGGGCTCCATTCAGTAGAGAAAATAAGGTGTTATTGTATCAGTAACACCTCATGAAACATCAGTTACATCTCATGAAACTGCAGTGTCCCTATCTACAACGTACACACAAAATAACAGTCTAGATTTATTAAATGGAAATAAGTAGGAGATACTTAAGCAGCACCGAGCAATTCCTGGCCTAATAAAAGGTTTCACCCAGCCATAAACAGCTTTTTCCCACTAGACAGGGCTGGAGATAAGCAGTGAGGGAATGAAAATGCATCAGAGTGCCTGAACTATTTACTGCATCACAGAGGTCTTTATTGTGAAGGTCTTACTTCACAACCCGGGCTGACTCTGAACTAGTCATCCTCCTGCCTCAGCCTGCTGCTAAACTCACATTTTGGTTTTCTTGCTTGATTTTTAGATTCAGTCATATTATTTTAAGTGCATGAGTATTTTGCTTGTGGTGTGTGTAAATGTACCATCTATGTGCCGTGCCTGGGCCTGCAGAGGCTAGAAGAGAGGGTCCAATATCTGGAGCTGGAGTTATGGACTGTTGTATGTCACTGTGTGGGTGTTGGGAACCAGTTCTCCGTCCACTGCAAGGGCAATAAATGCTTGTAATGTTTCCAGCCCCATGATACACTTGTTTTGATTGGGGCACAGGAACATACTAAGAGAATCTGGTCAATTACCTGAAGTTTAAGGGCTATGATTCTTTCCTGTTCTGCTAATAACTGTTCCTGGTCCTGCTGCATCTTCTCCGTCAGCTGTCTCACATGCTCCTGGTAACTCTTTTCCTTCTGCTCCATCATCAGCTCATATTCCTTTTGCTTTTCTGCTAACTCTCTATTTGCAGCTTCAGCAGCTTCAGCCTTTATCCGCTCCGCTGAGGAGGAAAAGTGAAAGAATACGAAGATTAAATTTTATGAGTTGCTTTTGCTTCTTGTTTCCTCTAAACTTTTTTTCTTGTCTGTGATAAAATCTCTTGTGGAAAGTTTTGTACAGAATAACCAGTTAATAAGGAAACAGATGACTGTATGTACCAGTTTTAAAGCACACCATGAATGATGCTTGTGGTTCTTTCCCCACAGTGGTCCATATGGACCAATACCGCTAAATGTGTCAAGAGCTCACACATCTGGAGTCTCTTCAGCAGCTCTCACCTTCAACCTCCTTTGCTGCTTCCGTGAGTGACTGATCTGCCTGTAGAAGAGTTTCAGCCACATTGTCCTTGGACTGTAAGTACTTTTTCAGCATCTCTTCTGCCTAGTTGTATAGAATAAGTTGAAGACAAACCAACCAGTCCGTTAAAGTGACATTGATGTTACCAGCTATGCAGCAATTCAAAGAGCTTCTTAAGTTTAATCAACCTAAAACTGACTTAGCGACCATTCCACCCCAAATCCTATTCTCTCATAGTCATATCTTTTAACATCTCATGACTCTTAAAGTAGTGGTATCTTTGATCTCTTATCTGCTTTGTACATCTCATATGTAACTATGAGCTGATCATGTTGGGTTTAGCCTAAAAAAAAGAAATGTTGCCTCAGCCTTTTGCTTGTCATCTGTTGCATCTAGATCTCACAACCCCAGACTTGCCTCTGCTCCAACTACTGCTCCGGACCATTTATCTCAGAGTATCCAGAGTATCCAGTATTCTGGGATGGTCATATTACTCCAGTGTTCAAAGATGACTATACAGCTCATCCAAATGAGCATAAGCATTTTTTTAGTGTCCCTCAGGATGTTCCTTGTCTAGATCATGATTTTCTTTATCTCTCACTAATCTCTACTTTGCCCACCAACTCCCAGAACATCAGGTCTCTAGCTACACCTGAAATACACATTTTATTTACTCTTTTGGACTATTGCTCTTGCTTGAAATTTCTGTTTCCTACATGGCCACACATTGTTCCTTCTAATGTCTTTGAATGATTTGCTATGCCTCTGCCTCATGGTCTATCAAAAAAGTAAATTATAGTATCTGGGATATCCAAATGATTAAATTCTTGTGAAAGACATATAATCAGAAAAGTGTCATGGTGTGTCTTAGAAATCTTAAGAGGAGTTGATGCACCATTCTTTTGTCCTTTCGTCCCTCCTTTTTGTTTCAAGGTATAAAGCTGAAGTAGAGCCTGACTTTCTAGCAGCTACCATAGAGCATGGATGCAGCCTGGAGATGTAGTCGCTGGAGAACAGAGGAAGAGGCCTAGGAACAAATAGGTTGTAGAGCCACCACAGCGGCACTGGGTTCTTCGTGACTCATTGTTGTTTGTAAGTAATACAAAGTCAAAATAATTGCAAAGTCTATTATCAGTGTAGAGTAGTCGAGACCTATTGGACATAGATGATGTTTTCTGGAGTTGCATTCAAGTTTTGCTGCTCATTGGTTGTGTGGTCTTAAGTGAGCCTTGTATTTCACTCTGCCTTGTTTTCTGTTTCTCTTTGTAATGTAAGCACATTAATAATGCATGGGTTACAGAACCAAAATATCTGGGCCCAGGAGTCTTTTCTGAGACTGTTAATCCAAACAAGGACCATTCATGGATATAACTTAGGATACCTGCTCATATGTAGCCCATGGCAACTCAGTATCCAACTGGGTTCTCTAGTAAGGGGAACAGTGACTGTCTTTGACATGAACTCAGTGGGTGGCTCTTTGACACCCCCCCCCGTAGGGGGGAGCAGCCTTGCCAGGACACAGAGGAGGACAATGAAGCCAGTTCTGATGATACCTGATAAGCTAGGGTCAGATGGAAGGGGAGGAGGACCTCCCCTATCAGTGGACTTGGAGAGGGGCATGGGAGGAGATGAGGGAGGGGACTACAGCTGGGATACAAAGTGAATAAAAAAATAAAAATTTAATTAAATAATGCATGGCCTATGTGGTGATGTGAGAATTAAGAGAATAAATTTCTGAAGCACAGGGAGACAATCTAAATGCTAACTGCTGCTACCACTGTTATTATTTTTAATTGTCTTGCTGCTAACAATACGAGAAGTGCTCAACACACATGACCAAATAAATCATTTTAGACAATTAGATGAGCAATTAGGTTGAGAGAATGGATGAATTCCACAAACACTTCTAAGAAGTCCAGTTGTGCTTCCAAGGAGAGATCTGCTGTCTGTCTCAGGGTCAGCGTCCTCCTAGATGTGTAAGACAAGGGCACTCTCCACCAGCACATCCTTGTTCTCTCTGCCATTTGGGAGAGGCTCCCACCAAGCCCTCCAAAAGTGGTACCAACCACTCAGCTTACCTGGAGCCCCTTTCCAGGAGCCTGGTTATACTTCTTCTCCAGCTCTTGTTTCTTTCGAAGGAAGAGGTAATAACCACCCGGTCTAGAAAATGTCCCCTGTTTCACTTCTTCTTCCAGAGGTCCAAAAATATCCTCCAGCAAATCTGAGCAACGAGCTGATGACACGTCTATGTTCTTCTGAATAAAGGCGTCTCGCTTTGCTACTATTAGGTTCTGGGGAAGGACAAACCCACACACATGGCAGAGATGAAAAAGATAGCACAACAGACTGCTGGAGAAGGTCTAAACGGGGCCACACTCTTCACCGCCGTGCGACACTCTCCCTGAAGAAGGTGCTGGCTACAGAAACTGACACTTCAAATCTCATTTCCTAAAGGTCTGTCTCCCTGTTTTCCTGCTCCAGAGATATTCTTAGAGCACAGGTATTGCTTCTCAAAAGAGAACCCTTTATCTACTCAAGTTTCTAATTGAAGGAATATTTTAGATTATGAAAATTAGAGCTAGGCAGGCCTGTGTGGACTTCCTGCACTCACTTCTTTGTAACTTCGTGGCCTCATCGTCATTAGTGGACTAAGGTTTCCTTGTCTATAAGGATGGAGTAACAACACCAATCTTAGAGGTCTTTTGTCAGACTGTGTGAGTGGACACAGAGAACTAAGTCCAGGGCTCTGCAGAATTTCTCAGGAAAGGGTAACTGACTGTGCAAGGCTCTGTGATAAAGGACTATTTCTCACCACGTAGCCACCAATGAAAGTCCTGAAGATGAAAGGATGAGCACTTTAGGGTTTGGAAAGCATAATAGGACAGCTACCTCTCCTTTTGACATCAAGCAAGTAACTAAGTCTCAACTATTTTATCTCCTTTAGGTTGGAGAGTAATCAATTTCCTGTTGACATTGACTCTCCTGTTTCACCAGAGCCTCTGAATGAAGCCTTGGTAAAATCCCGCCTTGGAAATCCAAAGAAGCATTGCCCCTCATTAAATGGCAAAACATCTGTAAACATTCTTATGATTGATTTCTCATTACCAATGGGAAACACAAAAACAATGTATTTCTGAGCAATAAAAACTACATTAGGATCAAAATGACAAAAATACATTATATTCAAAATTCTCAAAGAATAAAAAATATATTATAAAAAGTAAATGTAATGATCCTTTGTAAACGCAGCTGTGAAATTCCCTCAATGGCTGAGAACATAGTTTCCAACAGAATGTAAACTTTCAATAATCACTGCAAATTTGTCTGTGTCACTGACTGTTCCTTACCATCTTGGAGACTAAGGACAACACCCATCCCAAAAAGGGCCCTTCCTTTTCTCTGTTTCATGATTTTGTGTAGCACACCTACCCCTAATTCCCTCTGGAACTTTTGGTCTACATCCTTGAAAGAATTCTGCATGAAGACCTCAATGGCCTCACTCTCAATGGGCCTGTGCAGTTCTAGCAGCTCCTGGAGGGTTTCCGTGGGCAGCTGGACCTTCTGAGTCATCTTTTCTTCATAGTAGGCAATGGCCTTTTGCACAGCAGCTGAGTTCTCTATCTGGGCCAAAGTCAGGACAGCATTCTCCATGCAGGGTAGTTCTCCACTGCTGATGGCATTGACATAGGTCAGCACCAGGCTCTGTAGACCTACAAAAAACCCAAAAAAGTTAAGAAAATGGCTGTTGGTCGGTAGACAGAGCACTCTATAGTTTTAAGATTCTCTGAGAAAGAATAGCAAAATAATAATTTATTAACCTTAGATCCAGTGGATAGTAAATCATTTTGTTGTCGTTGCTGTCCTTCATTTGTTCCAAAGACTATTGGAGGTTAGTCTGATGCTTATATTTTGATGCTAATTACTGGCCCTCAAGATCTGCTATTTAACAGGTGTATGTGTCTTATTAATTGTGATAGCAGGTTAAATAATAATGCTGTGATCACCACAGAGTAAATAATAAACAATATATAGCGCAACACCCATTTTTAGTTACTACAACAAAAGACAGATGCTACATTGAGTGGGTTTCCAGTATTGGTGGAGGATATGGTCTGGTTCCTTTACTCCCCTTATTCCCTCTCTCCTACTTCTTTTCTTTCCTTTCATTCTTAATTAATTTTTTAAAGCCAAAGTGATAGCTTTGCTATTTCTTCTGGTTTGGTTGTGGTGGTTTTTAAATGACGCATCCTTCCAATTCTGCCTCTAACCTGTATATAGGGATCCACCGAGACACTCTCTTACAAAGCTGTGAGCAGGTGAGCAGATCGTCTAGGTTTGCTCCAAATTTTGCTGATTGATTAAGAGCATCAGAGTCCAGGAATCTGTCCTGCCCCTTTGTACCACCACAGTGTGCTGTGTGCAGAACACTCAAGAGAGTTATGCATGTAAAAAAGAAAACTTCACATTGTTCCCCAGAATCCCTGCCTGGCGAATCCCCCATAGAGCTTAGCACCAGCTATACTCTCCTTCCATTGTGTTCCTGCCCTTTCAGGACATCATCACTCCACACTTCTTCAACGGGGACTCTTTCATCCACCCTATTCTCTCAGTCGCCTGACTCTTACTTTCTTAAAGTTGGAAAGTTGCATCCTGCTTTTGGCCTTCTTTGGTTACATTAGTACATCAGGTATTACCTTCTGGCATTCTGGGTAACTCCTACCCATTTCCAACTTCTCACCTTACTCTTCAGCTTTAAGAACAAACAAACAATCAAAACAACAACAAAAAACAGTGTTCTCTCTGTCCCCAAGAGCTTATGTCCCACTTGCCTAGACCTCTAACTCCCCTGTTGCAGCTCCTTACGTTTCATTAATTATGTCAATTATTATTTATCACTATGAATTTTAGGTTTTTGTTTCCATTTAAAGTGTCTTTTGATTTTGTTATACTGGAAGGAGGATGGAAAACACATCTCTTTTTAAAAATAATTTATTTTTATTTTATGTGCATTAGTATTTTGTCTGCATGTTTGTCTATGTGTCAGATCTTGGAGTTACAGATAGTTGTGAGCTGCCATGTGGGTTCTGGGAATTGAACCCGGGTCCTCTGGAAGAACAGTCAGTGCTCTTAACCACTGAGCCATCTCAGCTCCCCAAAACATATCTCTTAACCCTTTACTATACTCAATAATTGGCTCTTTAAAGCCATTATTAAATATTTTGTTTGTACATGAACATTGTAGCCCTTAGTGACAAACTCCATAAATGTCATATTTCATTTTTCCTGACTTTTAGTAGTCCTTTATATAAGTGGTAACCACGAGTGAGGGGAAAATGCTTTCAGGGTTGAATTAGATTCTAGTTATTTTCCCTTTTCTTATTACAGATATGAGATGATGAGAAACGGCTTTAGTTCCCAAGTAAATTCCACCATGTGTTGCATGTACTAAATTTTCAAAGACATCAGCTGATGGTGTTTGGTCTGGTTGGATGTGGCTGCTTCAGTATCTCCTACATTGAAAATAAGAGAAGCCAAGGTAAGAAGAAAAAAGAATGACTTACGTGGCCCATTGACTATGACGCCACCAGACAGAGTCTTGACACTAGAATAGCTGAAGATGTATGAAGTGAATTCTGCAATTTGTTCTACAAATTCGCCACTCAGGTCCTCCTCCCTCATCGTCTCGAGTTTGGAAAGGTATTTCCTCGGAGCAGGCCTGTCAAAGATGAAGCACTTCCTCTTTGGGAAGAACTTCCTGATGCAGAGTCGAGGCTCATTAAAGCTTTTAGTTTTCTTATCATCTCCTGCAAGAATGAAAATTAGATGCAGTAAAGTTCACATGAATAATTTCCATATGTGACACTTCCAACCCCATAACTATGCAAGTTGAAATGCACCTGATACAGAACCAGTGACACTAAAATTAAAAGAAAACACCCTTTCTCTAAGCAGATGTAGCTTATAAAATTTCAGTGGAATCCAAGAGATTCAGCTAAGCTGTGCTTTCATTTCCTATAACAGCAGTCAGGATCACACAGATACAAAATCAACTGGGCAGAAATGACATTTATGAAATTATTTTCCCTTTGTATCAGAACATTCCACCAAGCCCAGGTACCTTTTTTCAGGGTCAGCGAATTCTCCAGGTACTCATCAGCAGTGATAGGTTTTCCATTAGCTTCCAGCTCCAGGGAGAAATCTCTCAGAGCCCACACAAAGACTGGAAAGAAGCCCACAAACTCAGCAGCGTCGTCTACGCCACTCTGCTCAGGTGATGACTTTGATTTGATTAGATCAGTCAGCTCTGTCACGTAGCTGAGACATTAAATTAAGAAAACTATAAAAACAAAATTATTGTCTTATGATGGATATTCCACCAGTGCCTGCCCAAAATTAATGCATGCTTGTTCGTTTAGCTGTGTTGGCTAGTTTTTGTCAGTTTCACATAACTGGAGACACTTCAGAAGAGTCATCACCTCAGCTGATTAAATTTATCAACTGAGAAATGACCTCTATCAGCCAGGCCTGTGGACATTCCCACGGGGACGTTTTTCTCAATTGCTAATTGATGTGGGAAGGCTTGGCCCACAGTGGGCAGTGCCAACCCTGGGCAGGTGGCCCCTGGCTGTATAAGAAAAGTAGCTGAGCAAGCACATAAAACAAGCCAAAAGGGCAACATTCTCTGAGGTTTCTCTAGATTCTGCCTCTTGGATTGCGTCTTGGCTTCCTTGATGACAGATTGTAACCTGTAAACCGAGCAAACCTTTCATCTCCAAGTTGCTTTGGGTCATAATGTTCATCCCAGCAACAGAGAGAAAACCAAGACATTGCTGATTCACAGAATTCAAACATTCACCAATCTATTGAGCCTCTACTATGAATGAGTCAGTTCCAGGGAAAAAAATTTAAAATAAATGAAAGTTTGCTACCATCATTGAGTTTTCATTGTGACACTTGGAGACAAAAACAATAAGTGAATTATTTTAACATCTCAGATATTTGCTACCATTTGATGTAGAAAAGGCTTTAGCCTAAAGGCTAGAGAATAACTATGTATGTCTAGTTTCTCAGAGAATATCATATGCTTTGTGAAGTCCTTGGTCAGCAGAAATCTAAAAAAAGTTAGAAGAGCCATCCATGAAAGCCCCAGCAGAGAAGCTGGAGATATGGCTCCGGGGCTAGAAGAAGCTGATGTTTTTGCAGAGGACCCAGGTTCAGTTCTCAGCACCCAGATCCAGTGGCTTACAATCTGGTGAAATTCAAGCTTCAGGAAATATGACACCTCTGGTCTCAGCAAGCAGCTCGTTTGCACCAACACATACACACACAATATTAATAAAATGAAACCTTGGAAAGGTGTTTTTGGAGAACATTCCAGATAGTTGTCAGAAAACCCCTGAAAAACATGATTGTATCTGACATGGGTGTGGACAAGTGCTAAAGAAGTCAGTACGAGGGCATGTAAGTTCTGAAGGCCAAAGCAGGAAGTTTCCAGCTTGTTTTCTACTAAGTAGAAAGCCAGCAGTGGACTTCGATCGTAGAGATGGTAGAAGATATGTTAAGTGATTTTTTAAGTGATCACACGTCTGGGGTTCCAAGTGTCAAGACTTTCGTAGAAGAGTGTTAGGTCATTGAGCCAGAACAAAGAAAGCTTAGACTAGACACAATAGGGAGGCTGGTCTAGGAAAATAGCTTTGCAGATGGAGTTTAAAACATTTGTGAGCTAATACTTTCTAGGATGGGAGAGAAAGGATCAAAATGATTGCTAAGGTTTTGATCAGAGCAACTTTGTGGAACATGTGGGATTTACTGTCGTAGGAAAGGTGAGAAAATTGTTTTGTAAATTCTGAGATCAAATCATCTCTTAAAGATCTATGTGAAGATGGAAAAAAATTGAATCCTCTCACAGATTTAAACAGAAAATTGGTGATGACTGAAATACAGGTGCACAGAAGCCCTTTGCCTAATGATACTGCATGAGAGTAGAGAATGAAGGAAAGTGGGTAACTAATGAGCTGTGATATTCAGAGTCCACAGAAACTGAACAGTTAGCCAGAGAGGAGAATGGAATATTAGGAAATGACGAAGTTCTAGACGCAAGAACCAAGTCGTTCAGAAGAGAAAGGACTTGAAATGCTGCCGGCAGAACAGATGATGTGACTTCTTACTGAGCACAGTGATGTTAAAGAGAGCACAGGGGGCCACCTGAAGTTAAGTTTATGGATAGGCTGGTGGCATTGACTCGGGCAGGTAATTAGGAAGGCAGAGGAAAATGATACCAAGAGGAAAAACTAGAAGAGAATAGTGGAAAACTGTCTGTTGGCTACCAGTCTCCTAACAGCAGCGGTTAAGATCTTCAGCAAACCAAGGCTGTGTGGCCTATAGGCTTGCAGAGAAAGGTGGTTATGGTCTGAGGGCACTGCATCTTTCCAATGGCGGAAGGATGAAAAAGTGACTGGGAGCTGCAGATTGGAGAAATATTGCGTACAGGCTGAAAAGCAGTGGCCATCTCAGATCCCTGGATGAGATTGCACGATAAATATTACCTACAGCATGCAGTGAGGAGTCGGGCTATAACTAATAGGTAAGGATAAGGATCTTCGTGATCTTTGAGAACATGGGTTCTACAGCATGTTGAGGATTTGGACAAATGCAGGCTAGTGAGACAGATAGGGAGGTTCCCAGCAGCGTGTCACTGCGTGTATGGCGGTGTGTGATGTAGGAAGTTTGAACTTCTAGGGCAAAGTGAGGCAAAGTCACATGAATTGTGTCAGGGGATTTGTTAATGAGAGACTTAAAAATGCTGAGGTCCTTGCCTTCCTGTCTACCTGACAATATAATGAAGGTATTCTTTCTAGGTTTAGGACAGTTCTAGATAACACCAAAAGGATACTGCAGCTGGTCCATGGCCTGCTGGTTGATGGTTCCTATGCTGTTGTAGATGAAGGTGCTGCTGAGGAGGACTGCCAGGGCGAAGATCCAGCTGTCATTCTGGTTGTCTCCCTACAGGTGAGTGAAAAAGAGTGACTAAGAGACTGTCCATCAACTCAGATAGGTGAAGATGATCCTTTGTCTGTCTCCCATTAGCTATGACAAGGGTAAGTCATTTCTACTACATAATAATTTTCTGCCTGTACAATGATTTTATGAATGTTCAATACATGCTCTATAATTCAAATAAGACAGTGTACATGAAGGACATTCACACTTAAAAGTCATAATGTTGACTAAACTGGCATGTTATGGTATGGGACAGTTTAACGCTAGTTAAAGTGAGGTCCTTCAATAAGTGTTTTGTTTGAGCAGAGAAGTAACACATGATTCTCCGTGAACAAAGATGTTGTGGCAGATCTTGCATTGCCATCCTTACTAAGAGTCCTTTGTGGAATTGACCATTCTTTTCAAACATACTTTAGTAATTCTCTGAGAATTTGAAACATTGTATTTTCATCATGGTCCCGCATTGAAGAGTCAGCCATGTTTCTCATAGGTATAGGCAAGTTCAGTTTGTCATTAGCAGTTTCAAACAAAATATTCTATTTTTATGGGAAAGAAAAAATGACCAAAATATTGTTAGCTATTATTTAAAGGCTGATCCACTAGTCTTTGACTCCTCTTAGACAAACTTTAAGAGCAGCACATTCCCCTAATTATTCAGAATCATAAATCCAGGAGTGAGATGGATATTGCAAGTTGAACTATTGACAAGCCTCAAGTAAAATCTGAAAGGCTTTTTGTTTTTTACCTTCTCAACATCTTCAAGGCCCTCAGTGTCCAGCAGAACTAGGGTTTGCCCTGCCTTCTTAGGATGAGGCACACACCACATCCAGATCCCCTTGGTATGAGATTGCACTGTGGAACCCAGAGAGAAGCCTGCAAAATAGAATGGGCATTGGATGGGAAGGAAGCAAATAATGGTGCTTCTTGATATTGAGTGGAAAATTAACATAGTTATGTTTCTGGGAGAAGATCAGGGAGGGGGTTACAATCAGGATGTAAAGTGAATAAATTACAAAATAAAAAATAAACATCTGCAAAAACAAAAGAAAGTAGAACAACTTCAAGTATTAATTTTAATTACTAGCCTAGAAATAGGGCACTTGTAATGTCTAATGCTGATCAATACATTAATTCCTTAGAGCTAGACACTTGCTCCTCCTATGTGGACAGTCTAGTAAATGTTTTATAATTCATCATTAAGGAAGCTAGCCAGACAGTGGTGGCATGTGCCTTTAATCCCAGCACTCAGGAGGCAGAGGCTGGCAGATCTCTGAGTTAGAGGCCAGCCTGGTCTAAAGAGCAAGTTCTAGGACAGCCAGGACTACACAGAGAAACCCTGTCTATAAAAACAACAACAACAACCCCAAAAACAAAACCCGAGGAAGTTAGCTTTCTCAGTGAATGTGTTAGTTCTTTCTTTAAAACACACCTACACCTGCAAATTGGAAAATAAAGGCACCGTTTAAAGAGCCAGGGAGTAGAGGATGATTCAACAAGGAGAAACTCTGCTGGTGGGTAGACATTATCCTTTCATAGTTCTTCCCCTCTCTGGCATTCTTTCCTCACATTTGCTTTCAGGATGCTGGCTACACGAGTGATCAGAAGAGCCTGAGCAGTCTTGTTGCTGGCACTCACCTGTTTTCTTCCCAGCCAGCTTGTTCATCAAGTATGATTTTCCTGTGCGGTAGAGGCCCACGATCGCCACCACCACCACAGGCTGCTGGATGGCTTTCAGGATCTTCAGAGCCTCCTGGTTGACCACTAGCTGAGCCTCAGTGTTCTCAATGAGGCACATGGGTTCCGACATGTGGATCTCTCGGGCCATCTTCAGGCCTTCTTTTGTCTCCAAGGAGAAGATAGGTCGGACCACACTTTCTAGTCAGTCAGAAGAAATAAATATTATACACTAAAATTTTCCTTCTTTGAAATGTGTTCCTTGTATACTTCTAAGAATTCTGAGGCCTCGTATGGCTGTCCTGTAGGTTAGTCTACTACTTCTATTTGAATACAAGTAGTTTGAAGTTCATAGATAACCAGGAAAGTTATGTACTGGGTTCAAAAGGCTGCATGTATCATTTCCCCAGCTTCGTCCAACCCTGGTACCCACATACCGTGAGTGTAGTGGCTGACTGGGCTTGCAGCATTTCTACAACACCCCTAATGAGGATGCATGACTTGCACCTCCTTTTTTCTTATATAAGATTTTTGCTAATGTCCCTTTTTGCTTCAAGATCTAGTCTGGGATCCCTCACTGATCTTCATGTCTCTGTAGCTTCCTCTCATCTTCATTAGATCTTTATTCTTTCTTTATCCTTCATTACTTTATATCTTAGATGAGTATATAGCAGTTATTTTGTAGCGTAGACTTCAGTTAGATTTTTTTAGTTGTTTTCTTAATATTAGTTTGAAATTCTATTGATATGTACTGGGCAAAAGGTCACAGAACTGATATTCTGTAATCTTCACAGAAGATCAAAGCGAAGGATCGATAAGTCGGGTATTACTTCCTGTGATAATACTCTTTTGAATGTGGCCTGTTGATTAAGGGGTTACCTGCCAAGAACTGTTTACTGCTTTATAATTATTATCACCACTTGAACAGCAAACAAATATTTAGAAAACAATTCTAGGATTTTAGTCAACAGGGAAATACAAGTGAAAAATGCCCTGAGGTTGCATCTCACTCCACTGAGAGTGGCTAGCACTAAGATAACAAGGAAAAAGTCCTCCAAGGGCGTGGGAAAGAGAACCTTATGCATTGCTGCTGGGAATGCAAACTGGTGCAGCCACGGTGGAAAGCAATATGGAGGACAACAGAACTACCAAATGACCAGATACCACTCCTGGACACACACACACACACACACACACACAGAGAGAGAGAGAGAGAGAGAGAGAGAGGAGAAACTTTTTGGGGTGAGGAAAAGGACCAGGGAATTGGCGTAAGGACAAATGGGGTATGCTGGGTAGGCCAATGTGGGCGAGACACAATAACATACATGCGTAAAAACGTCCTAATGCTGCCCATTACATTGTACACTAGTTAAAATATTTTTATTTTAAAGGTCAAAACAAAAACAAGAAGAAAATTTTAAAGTTGCCATTTGGAGAGATACTTTTAAAACTCAACACATGTAACTTTCTCATACCCCCGTGGGCTTTGGCCACAGCTTTCAGCATCTACTAATAATTCAAGGCTAAAAACTAACCACTCCAACATTTCCCTACAGATGACTGCCTGCTCTTATCAGGCCATGTACTTATTCACTGGAGGTCCTCAGCAAGCAAGGGTATTGCTCCTACTCACATTCATTCAGTCACTCAGTTGGTTGCATCAGTGTAACCTGCTAAGTACTTATTTCATCCTGTGTGCCTTCTTTCCTCTGTGATCATTGCTTGTGTTATGGCCTGACTTGTCCCTTTTGTTGACTGAGGCTCCTTCAGCTGGACCCAGTGTTTGGCTGGCAGACTCCCATCACATTCCCATTACTTTCTGCTACTACAGATTCTTTCAGAGCCATGTTTGTCCTGTGTTGTTCCGGAGTTGAGTACTCCTCCCAAAGCTTTGGTTCAGTTTGGTGCACTGTAGGATTTATGCCAGAAATATCACCCTTAGCACAGTCATTGTGTCGAGGTGAAACATTATCTTCTGGGACGTGAAAGGGTCTTTGAACTTATGAAGTCAGAGCTGCTGTGGCTCCTATAGAAAATCTGCATAAAGCTGGGTGCTTGGTGGTGCACACCTTTAATACCAGCATTTGGGAGCCAGAGGCAGGAGGCTCTCTGAGTTCAGGGTCAGCCAGGTCTACAGGGTGAGTTCCAGCATGGCCAAGGCTACACAGAGAAACTGACACCAAACAAAACAAAAAGAAGGAAAAAGAAAACCTGCGTAAAATCCAGCTTCAAAATTCGGCTATAGATGGGGAGAGGCTCAGGAAGCCCCATGCACAGCTCTGGAGCTATTGGCAGTTAATGGCTGCTAGGGGCGGGGGTGGGGGAGGCTGGTTTTATTCAGTAATATGTCCCATGGTAAACTACCCAGCCTCCAGTAGGTGGCCTTATGCTCATGCTCAAATGAGCTGCAATAACCTGATTCAACGAGGACATGAAATTAGCAATAGGATAGAGTTGGGGATGGTGGGGGTGATGGAAATGTATATTCAAAATAGTATACACAAAGATTTTATGGCTCCCTAAATTATCAGTAGAAGAATTGTCCCCTTTTACAAATTCCAAGCAGCCTAACTTAGCAATAAGAAGACACTGGCAACAAGTAGAGGGATTTTGTCTGAGTTTCATTAGCCAATAAAGATGATCTAAACTAATGCCAAGAAAGCAATATCAACCTTAAAACCTCATGCCCTCTCTGTGAACTCTCCTTTATGCCGTACCAGGGGCAGGGTCACTAAGGGCCAATGCTGCTTCTGTGAACCAGCGCTGGATTTCATGTGACCTGCTGTCCCACCCATGGCTGTCTCAGTTTTAGCCGTCCTTGACCAAGTCTTTTTAGGATAAACCAGCAGTCTGGCAAACCCCTTCTGCACCCCTGCAGTCTTACCTGAAGCAAAAGCCTTTAGTGTGGTGAGGAAAGCTCCTGTGTGAAACGCTGAATGCCTGTGAGCTTTGCGGCAGTCTGGCTGCTGAGAGCTCTGTCCCCTCTCACAGGCGCTGTGGTAAGTACCAGCAAGAACCTAGATGTTGAGAGTTTCCTGAGACTTTAGGAGGAGTTTGCTCAGCAAAAGAGCAATGTTTAGGAAGATGAAAGTGAAAGTAAAGCAGACCAGGGAAATTACTCAGAGTGAGGGGTGTGCTAATGGGAAGGCCAGGGAGATTTCTCAAGCAGAGATTGATAAATGATGCAGTTTTACTCCACAGTTTTTGTGTTTAAAATTTCAATGTAATGCACTGACTGAAGAGGGCATGGTTTTGAAATCACTCCCTGTTACGTTTCTGTCCTTTTTTGTCCATTAGCGTTTGTTTTGTGAAGTTGCCAGCTCCACTGAGTTGCACAATGATACCAAAAGATTGGGCAATTCAGAGACAGACACGAATTCATTTAAAAAACATTTCTCTATACTGTGAAAGAATAAAGATGGAAAGAAAAAAAATGTTAGGGTTAGAAGAAACAGAGAGAGAGGAGGGATGGAGAGAGGGGGCAGACACACAGAGAGGGAGAAAGAGAGAGAGAATCACTGAAAGTGAAAGTGAATCTGAGTTTCTTTAACTATATCAAATGTTGGGAAATCAGCTGATTGGCTTGTGTGTTTGCCTTCCACACTAGAAGAATCTGTGGACATTATACATAATCCCCAAACAATTTTGGCACCACTTGAATATTTGTCAGTCATGTGGAGCATAAGGGTAAACAAAAAGGAATTTTTTTTTGGTCTCTAAGTTTAAAGGGGCCGGTTTCCCGGTTCCTGTATTATGTTTCCTTAGAAACAAGTGAGTCAGAGCCCTGCCCATAAACTACTGAGTGTAAATAACATCTCTCAGACACTGAGCAGAGCCACTGTTGGCCATAAACCTCTGAGTCTCTGGACTGTGCCCCAGCAGGCTGGCGATGGCCTTGGCATTGACAAGCCACTGGCACTGTGGCTGTGAACAGTGCCCACAACCGTGCTTTGTAGTTCTGAAGACATCTAACTAACCTTCATACCCATCTACCCACTGACTGGTGCTTAAAGCCTTCCATCGGAGCTAACACAAATCAGACAATAGGCCAGATTCTTAATTCCCTGGGTGCAAGTGTTGAACCACTTCTATGAGCACACGTGATGCAGCATGCCCTCGGAAGTATATTGCGGAAAAGCTCTACCATCCACTGCTATCCTATAAGCCAATGTGTCATCAGAAGTTCTCTTCCAAAGCCCTGGGCTTGAGGCCACCATGAGCACCATAATTATACAGAAAGTATCTTTGTGCTTCTCTATTCCATGGGAGTGATGAGACAAATAACTGTGACATTTTTCTTTGTAGTGCTTTTATTCTGAATGTCTAGATGCAGAGCCCATGTCCTCATCACTGGGAGTGTTATTTTTAAAATTATGCACACAACAGACATTATATGAAAGAGTTTATTGGAGGGAAGGGAAGCAGAAGAGAGTTAGGTCCTGAGTGAGCCATGAGGGTGGGGTGGGGAATAGAGACAGAGAGACAGAGATGGGAAGAGGAGTACTCCAACAGACAAAGAGGAGAGAGCAGTAGAGGAGCAGGAGAGCAAGAGAGGGAAAGAGAGAGAGAGGGAGTGGCAGACCGGCCACTAATTTCCTGGCCCAGATGATGTCATAGGATACAAGTACTGACACAGGAAGTTGTCAGGACCCTAAAGGCAGGCCAGTGGATTGCCTGCACAACATAAAATTCCTCCCTTTTTTAAATTAAAATTTTATTTTTTAACATTAGTTACAGTTTATTTACTTTGTATCCCAACCAGAACCCCCTCCTTCATGCCTTCCCAATCCCACCCTCCCTCTCTCACCTCCTCCCTGTCCCTCCCTAAGTCCACTGATAGGGGAAGTCCTCCTCCTCTTCCATCTGACCCTAGTTTATCAGGTCTCTTCAGGATTGGCTGCAATGTCCTCCTCTGTGGCCTAGTAAAGCTCCTCCTTCCTTGGGGGGTGGGGGGTGAGTGTCAAAGAGCCAGCCACTGAGTTCATGTCAGAGACAGTCCCTGTTCCCCTTACTAGAAAACCCACTTGGATACTGAGCTGCCATGGGCTACATCTGAGCAGGGGTTCTAGGTTATACCCATGCATGGTCCTTGGTTAGAGAATCAGTCTCAGAAAAGACACCTGTGCCCAGATATGTTTGGTCCTTGTAGAGCTCCTGTCCTCTCCAGGTCTTACCTCTTCCCTTCTTTCATATGATTCCCTGCACTCTGCCCAAAGTTTGGTTGTGAGTCTCAGCATCTTTTTTAATACACTGCTATGTAGAGTCTTTCATAAGCCCTCTGTGGTAGGAATGTCCATCCCATTTGTCTTTCTAAGTGAGGGTTGATCATCTTACCCAGGATCTTCTTTCTTGTTTATCTTCTTTACGTGTACAGGTTTTAGTATGTTTATCCTATATTATAGGTATAATATCCACTTATAAGTGAGTATATACTGTGTGTGTCTTTCTGCTTCTGGGATACCTCACTCAGGATGATCTTTTCTAGATCCCACCATTTGCCTGCAAATTTCATGGTTTCCTTGTTTTTAATTGCTAAGTAGTATTCCATTGTGTGAAAGTACCACAACTTCTGTATCCGTTCCTCCATTGATGGACATCTGGGTTGTTTCCAGGTTCTGGCTATTATGAATAAAGCTGCTAATATATAAAAAAACTAAAGAAGTTAAAAAGCAACAAATCAAACAATCTAATTTAAAAATGGGGTACAGAACTAAACAGAGAATTCTCTGTAGAGGAATATATAATGGCAGGGAAATACTTAAAGAAATGCTCAACATCCTTAACCATCAGGGAGATGCAAATCAAAATGACCCTGAGATTTTACCTTACACCCATCAGAATGGCTAAGATCAAAAACTCGAATGACAACACATGCTGGAGAGGATGTGGAGAAAGGGGAACCCTTCTCCACTGCTGGTGGGGATGTAAACTTGTATAACCACTATGAAAATCAATCTGGCGCTTTCTCAGACAATTAGGAATAGCGCTTCCCCAAGATCCAGCTACACCACTCCTAGGCATATACCCAAAAGATGCTCAAGTATATTCCTCCCTTTTTAATTAAAAAAAAAATGAGGATCTAGGGAGGGGTGGCAAGGCAGGAATGGGGACAATGGAGTGCTTCTCATGTAAGGCAAGTTAAAGTACATAAATGTAGGTTCACTGGAAGCAGCTCCTGGTCACCACATAAGAGGGTGTGAGAGAGAGAAAAAGTAAGAGCACCAAAATATCCAGATTACGAGGAGGAGAAGAGGAAGTCCCTGCCCTGGAAAGTTCAGAGTAGAGGATGGGGTTTGCCAGTAGATAGGGACTGAGTAATGTTGGGAGAGCCTGGAGCTGTTTGTCCTGGGCCTGAAGCACACAATTCCAGCTTTTGTTGATAATCAGTGGATAAGGGGCAAAGAAAGCAATTATCTTTAGCTACTTCCTGCTGACACTAGGGCGGCTGTAGGGAGGTCAAAGGGCTCAAAGGTTGGCCAAGTCCAGGAAGAACAGGGTCTTTTGATGCTGTCCAGAGTCTGTGAGAACATCTGTGGCTGACAGGGAAAAGTGCAGGTGCAGCTTGACGCAGTCTGAAAGGGTAGAGTAGAGAGCATGCAATAGCTGCTTCGGCGCTGTCGTGGGTGTAGGAAACACCTGGGTCTGGCAGGATACTGAAACATATATATACAGGCAGAAGACAAAGTTAAGTAGGTCAATGTACTCGTCAAATTCTGTCCTGTCTTCACTAGCTCTTTCATCCTAAGAGCCAATCCATGCCTAACTTTATTAAGATCTACCTGCAGCCTGCCTCTGAGAACTTGCGTTTCCTAAAGACTATTACTACCTCTTGTAAAATCTGTCAGATGTTGGATCCCAACTCGAGGTATCATAGCCCCCCTTTCCCTACCCACCAGGCTAGACTCTCTCTCCCTGGGGCTGACTGGCAACTTGATTTTACCCACATGCCAACAGTCAGACATGTCTGGTACCTCCTGGTATTGGTGGAGGTAGTCTCGGGTAGGTGGAGGCATTCCCCGCTGCTCAGTTTCTGATTTCCTCCTCCGTGAAATCATCCCACATTTTGGAATCCCTGCCTCTAGTCAGACAACGGTCCTGATAATTTACTTCCGAGGTTTCCCAGACCTAATCTTAATACCTCAACATCCCTTGGCATTTTCATGTCCCATATCACTCCCAGTCCCCAGGAAACACACAGCAAACTAACTGCTCCTTAAAAACCACCCTTGTCACCTCAACATAAAAGCAGATACTCTAAATCTGTTAGAAGAAAAAGTGGGGAACAGCCTAGAACTCATTGGCACAGGAGAAAACTTCCTAAACAGAACACCAACAGCACAGGCTCTAAGAGCAACAATCAATAAATGGGACCTCATGAAACTGAAAAGCTTCTGTAAAGCAAAGGACACTGTCATCAAAACAAAACGACTGCCTACAGATTGGGAAAGAATCTTCACCAACCCTTTATCTGACAGAGGACTAATATCGAGTATATACAAAGAACTAAAGAAGCTGAAAAGCAGCAAACCAAGTAATCCAATTAAAAAATGGGGAGCAGAGCTAAACAGAGAATTCTCGACAGAGGAATATCGAATGGCAGAGAAACACTTAAAGAAATGCTCATCCTCATTAGCCATCAGGGAAATGCAAATCAAAACGACCCTGAGATATCACCTTACACCCATCAGAATGGCCAAGATGAAAAACTCAAGTGACAACACATGCTGGAGAGGTTGTGGAGAAAGGGGAACCCTCCTCCATTGCTGGTGGGAATGTAAACTTGTACAACCACTCTGGAAATCTATCTGGCGCTTTCTAAGACAATTAGGAATAGTGCTTCCTCAAGACCCAGCTATACCACTGCTAGGTATATACCCAAAGTTTGCTCAAGTACACAAAAAGGATATTTGCTCAACCATGTTTATAGCAACTTTATTTGTAATAGCCAGAACCTGGAAACAACCCAGATGTCCATCAACAGAGGAATGGATACAGAAATTGGGGTATTTTTACACAATGGAATACTACTCAGCAATCAAAAAGGAGGAAATCATGAAATTTGCAGGCAAATGGTGGGATCTAGAAAAGATCATCCTGAGTGAAATATCCCAGAAGGAGAAAGATAAACACAGTATATACTCACTTATATAGACCTATAAGATGTGATAAACATAATGAAATCTGTACACCTAAAAAAGATAATCAAGAGAGCGGACATGGGATAAGATGATCAATCCTCATTTAGAAAGACAGATGGGATGTGCATTGAATGTATGACAGGAGTCTACTGAGCGCATTTGAAAGACTCTAACTAGCAGTGTTTTCAAAGCAAAGACTCACGACCAAACCTTTGGCAGAGTACAGGGAATCATAAGAAAGAAGGGGAGTTAGTCTGATGGGGAAAGGATAGGAGCTCCACAAGGATCAAATATATCTGGGCACAGGGTCTTTTCTGAGACTGACATGCAACCAAGGACCATGTATGAATGTAACCTAGAAC